ACAGACCGTGACAGACAGGCTTTGGACCCATCACAGACCGTGACAGAGAAACTGCAGTTCTAAAGCATTAGATAAAGGGTTAGCTTACAAATGTATCGCAAAGAAATGGAGCAAAACGATTTCCATTTAACTAATAACAATAGATCCATCGTGTTTCAGTTTTTTAATTCCGCAAGGAATTCCACTAACAGCTTTTTTAAATAGTTGCACCCCTTCTAAATAGTTGTATGTTTAATTAAAAAGTATCTCTTTTGAGAATATCTATGACTCTTTTAAATAGCTGTAGCTTTTTTAAATAACTATATATTTAATTAAAAAGTATCTCTTTTGAGAAGCTACGCAAATTTTGACAAAAATGAAGAGAATTTGCTTAAGAATTAAGAAAAATTCATATTTTTTGAAGATCTAAATAGACAGTTTTATTGGCTTAACATTAGAATGTGTGAAGATAATTGTCTGAATTATATCTTAAACTTTAGATCTAAAGTCCCTCTATCTAAATCACAAATCAAAAACAAAATTTGATCTAAATAACAGACTGTTTTCGTGCATTTTTTTCCAATGTTTTTGTTAGCTCTCGTTTTGGGAATTATGTAGCAATGGTAGAACTAATATTTAGTCTGCCAAACATGGAGAGCTAAACATGTTTTAATAATCGACTTTGTCGTCGTGTCATATATAGAATATATTGAGTATCGAGAGATCGATACGATAGAACATCAACAACTGCGCAATAACGAAAGACAAAAAGATAATCACGAGATGAATCATACTTGAGAGGTTACGTAACAAATCAAATTAGAGATTCAAAAAATAGATAACATAAGATAAACGTTTAGCGTCAGTAAGCACCATCTACTGACGCTAACAGTTTTGTAGAAATGATTGATTTTAAAATGATTTCGTCTTATATAGTATTGGAGAAAAAGATGTTCCGATGGGTGGTGAGTGTGTGAGTCTGGGTGTGGGTGTGGGTGTGTAGGTCTGGGTATGGGTGTGTGGGTCTGGGTGTGGGTGTGTGGGTCTGGGTGTGGGTATGTGGGTCTGGGTGTAGGTGTAAGGTGCTGAATCTTCAGAGTATAGTGAATAAATCCAAACCTCACCCAAACCTACCCACACCCCACACCCCACACCCCACACCCCACACCCCACAACCACACCCACAGCCACAGCCACAGCCACATCCACACCCTCAAGATGACTATAACTATCAAAATTGAATAATGATTATGAGTTAATGGCAAGATCTGAATAATATAATAAAACCATTCAAAACGATATTGTAAAATGACTGATTTAACTTCATTCAGTAGAGATGTACGAGAGAGTAGATATTAAAAGATACTAATCATTGTTATCAAATAGAGAGATATTCAAAGTGTTTAGAAATATTTACGATTGTCTTTAAATTATTAAACTATGTTAAAATGGCCAACCTTTTGTATCTTAAAAAAGCAATTTCATATTCAAAAGAACAGTTTTTTTTATTATATAGCAAAAGAAAAAGCTATTTTAGTAAAATATCTATTCGCTCACATAAGTGAAAAAGAATTGTGTTCGATAATAACCGAAAATACAATGCTAATTTAAATGCCCAATTTTAATATATAATAAAAAATACTTGAATATTTTTAAACTTGCGAAACATGAGCATTTTTGATGAAATTTTTTACCTAAAGAATAAACAAATAAAAGAATTTTTAATATTTTCAAGTGAAAGAAAATTATTTTACTTTCTCTAGAATAATTTCTATTGTAAACTTCATTGAAATAAGAGTTGTATATCGTGAGATGGCTCTATCGTGATGACTTATGAACTGAGAAAATGAATTTCTTCATTAGTTCATAAAATATTTCGTCCGCCTATTGATTATAATCCTAGTTTTAAGTACTATTCAATTAGAAATTAATAAACTATCATTTATTGATTTGTATTTTATAGAATCTTGAGTAATATAGTTAAAATCATTTAATTTTAATGAAATGTCTTTCTTAGAAAAATATGCAGTCATTTATACGATGTGAAGAAACCAATTTAGAAAAAGAAGTTAGTTGTCATTTCATATCGTTTAGAAATTGGTTATCGTATCGACCAATAAAGAAAAAGAAAGAAAACGTCAGACAACGAACGAAAAATATTGTTCTTTTTATAATTTGTCATGGAAAAATGAACATAATTTTTTTCTTGTTTTCTATATCGAGAAAAATCGATTGCAGTACATTTTGTACATTTTGCTTTTAGTAGCAAAATGTACACCTACATTTTGTACGCATATACACACTGTATGCGTACATTTTGTTTTAGATTTCCATTGAAAATACTGTATTCAGTGTAAAAGAAAATGATTAAATAACCAATTTAGATATCATAACTATATGCTATTTTAATTTTAATAATGAACTGCTTTCAAGTTATTCACTGAGAAAGCACTCTCTAAATTTAAATATCCTGTACTTCGTCTTTCAATTTACAACTACTTAAAAATCTTTTAAGATATTTTTCGATCGTACTTTTACTTTTAATCATTTTTGAATTATCGAGAACAAATCTTTAATATCAGTGCTTTATACAGGGCAATGATGAGAAAGAAAAAATTTCATATTATAATTTAAAGAAGAAAACGAAGAGATAATTCAATTTACATAAAGCTAACTTATACATAAAACAATAAAAGTTAAAAGAGTCTTTTAATAAGATGAGACACAATAATCAATGAAAGTATTCATGATTTGTAATATTATCAATAACGTTTAGGATATAATATATACAAACAAAAGTATATGACAGATACTGTCAATTATTCTTCTATTGCTAATTCATTATAATCTTCTATTCCATGAGATTCTACATCAGTATTTTCATCATGTTTATCTAATGCACCAAATGTTTCACATATTCTAGGTGTTAGAAAGTAATCTTTAATTTGATTCGAAAAATATAATGATGATAAACCAATTTGGAATTCATTGACGCCAACGATTCGACAATTTTTCAAATGTAACATTAACATTACTGTGGGATATGAAAATAAACAAATTTCGTAAGGAGTATTTTGCTTTGCCAATAAATTGAAAGCCAATTTCGGCTGCTTGACTATTTATTCCCGAAAACCGACCACCATGGGATGGATGGTCCATCTTCATAACTGTTTGACATATCGATCTTGTATGTGTACGTTGGTGGAAGTTGTCCAGGGCGATATACTTCGGAAGTTGTCGTGTTATATCTGTTAACTTTAACATGTCAGTTTCTAACCAATTGTTCCAATGCAATTTAAGTGTACAAGCACAATCATAAAGAAGCGCTTCGGTCATTTCACAACCATGTATAATTGAACGCAATAAATGCCTTCTAATAGACCTCATTTCCTCCGCTTTGATGGCTTCTGTAAAGCCAATTGACACACCACAAGGATGGTATGAAGCTAAAAATCCAGATGTTCTTGACTTTCGAATTTGTACACCGTCATCACGAGAATTTGAGCATTGGGTTTTATGTTCTTCCAAGGACTTTTGATCAAGTTGCTACAAAAGACCATTATAAAATGTATATGGGAGAGAAAGAGAAATATAGAGAGAGAGAAAAAAAATAACTTGTCCAAGACGAAGAATGAATCTGTTTCGGAGAACAATATAGATAACATCTTTCAATGGAAAGTGTAGAAGTCATATATAAAGAAAGGTTAAGGTTTCAAACAGACATGATGTTGAACATTTTAACAATTGTTGTTTTAACAGCAACCATTTCAAGAGAAAAATAACACCACTATTCTTAAGAATTAGGTTAGATCTTGAAATCTAACTTAAATAAGTTGACAGATGTTTAAAATGGTGTGAATCTTGAACATCATTTGTTTTCAAGTTCTTTCTACAGATTACTATCCTTTATCATTTATCTACCTTTCATTGTAACGTATTAATTTTTACCTATTTTTGAGAGCAAACAGTTCATACTATTAGTTACTGCATATTCAACAGCCAATTGGCATGCTTTTTGCATATCGAAAGAAGGAGATAGTTTATTAGGCGGTTGATGATAACGGCAAAAATTTGTCAAAACTAAAGATATAATAAAGTACAATAAGCTAACAACAATTACTACTGTTATTAGAACACTAACTGGAATTATTCGCTTTCGTTTTCCTACATGGTGTATATGGACATTCAACTTCAACTGATGTCATCTCATTGATCGTTGTGTCCACAACATTTTTGTATTCACAAACTATTCGCTTTGACTTTTGATAACCGTCGACAATAATGCATTTACTACAATTAGTGGAATTACATTTCATATTTGGAAGTAACTTGTGACGTGACCAAAAGACGGAAAAAAGGTGATACCACCATGTAGATGATTTTTCAAAATGATGTTCAAGTTCTGAACGGTTCAATGACTTAGGCATAGCAACTACTTCACCTTTACCGAGCATAAACTCAAACCAAATAATGTTATATAAGAACCAGTTTGATTGGAAAACTTTTGTCAAATGGATAGGTTCAAAGTCTTAAGTAACTAATATGGATCACTTTAGTATCATAAACTGCTAATTTTTGTTGGCAATTGATACATGTCGTGGTAAATGGCAAAAGTACTAAATCATGTAAGACATCGATGGCAGTGTGATTGATTTTTATTCTAACGCTATTAGAAGCTAAATCATCCATGAGAAAAATATTTCGAACAAACGAAATATTCATAGCAATAAGATTTGTTAATGTCCGAATTTGAACAATCGTAAATTGACTTTCAAAACGTTCATTTACAGCAGTTTGAATAATTTGTGCACGTGAATCAGATGATAAAACCGATGGTGGAAGAATCGAAAGATCCATATACATTCGACATACATATGGCAATGGTGTCGGTCCGATACACGAAGCAAGAACTTCGAATAACTTGTTAGAATCAGACATCTGATACGCAAAAATATATTCTTATATCCAATTAATTGTGCTTAATGTTTAAAATGATTACAGAGATCGTGCGTATTTCAAATAACGTATATCAATTATGAAGCAACAAACAGATTAGCATCTGTATATATAAGCACCACTATATCTCCTATACCTCCTATACCTCCTATACCTATATATCTATATACCTCTTACCCTAGGACATAATCGAGTTTCCGGGGATATTCTCCGAAGACATGTAATCAAATTATTTTAATAAATAAATATTTAGTATTAGATTTATCCTTATAAATAATCTAAATAATTGAAAGAAAAATTATTTTTTTAATTGATGCTTTGCATCGGACTAGTTGCTGAATTCAATAGAAGAGCTGTATAATGATGAAATTCAGTGACTCAAGTTACGACTAACTTAGGTCCATATACGACCCTACACGATAGTCATGTACGACATTCATTTACTTGTAACGTATACGTTAATCGTATTAGGACATACGGCATCGTATACGTTCAGAGTATGCCCCGATCGTATACGACCACCGGATCCAGGCGTATTTCGTTGTATACGACTGTTTACGATCGTGCCTTTTCGACCTGGGTAGAACATCTAGAATTATCTGGGGAAATATTTCATATTTATAAATGCATGTGTACTTGTATGCATTAAGTTATAATATTTATTAATAATTTTCGATAAAGTATAGTGCTATTTGAATGTCATATTAAAGTACAGTAATTGTTAATTATTATTGGATCTTTGATCGATAAAAGAACTCAATATATTCAGAAAAGAAATTGATCTGAAAAATTTTCAAACCGTCAATTACAAACAACACAAATGAACACAACTAATGAAATATATCTTTTTGACAACCAAGTTTTTCTAATAGAAGGATTCTTTTCTGATTAAGTACTAGAAAAAAACGATAATCTTCTCAATTACATTTTTTCCATATCGTTCATCTTGGGATATTAGTTTTACTCCAAAATAGGTAAATATTAAAATATAACATATGATGTATTTTTAAAAAATAGAATTAGAAAGTATTAAAAATCTGGAATCTGAAATGAAACCAATTTTTCAATCATTTTCTCGAAATTTAATGAGTATCAATCAAAAAAAAATAATGATAATTTCTTGTCTAAAATCTGCGTTTACTTGACGAGTTGAATTGAAAAAAAACTAAAAATTAGTCTACATTTTTAGTATTCTTAAGTTGTATCGCTTTTTTTTGTTATTTTAGGTCACAAATTCAATATTGACATTGAAGCATAACTATTGTATGATTCGACCAAGTATTGACGAATTAGTAACTGATGGTCTATTGAGGAAAATAATGAATGGCATGATAGCAGGTAAAAATAGCAGCATTTTATACATAAAAAATTGCCGAAAACAATTAATACATGCGACATCAAACAATTCCAAGATCAATATTTAAAAAAGTTTAATATTTCATGGGAGATTTACTCTGCAACATGTAAAAAAAATAATTCTTTCTTCATCAGTGGCACAACTATCGAATGAAGTGCACAGAATTCTACGATCAAATCCTTATGAAAAGTATTTATATCTTGGAAATATATTTTTTATGTTGATTTTTTTTAGTTTTGTACAAAAAACCTGTAGTAAGCCCAGACTCCATGAAAAGAATGATGCGAAATAAATTAAATACGCCCAACATATAAAAATAAAATTGTCACAAGCACAAAGCCGGTGAACACTATACTAAACTACTTTCCAAGAATAAGCAAGTTAGTGTCGGTGTATTGTTTATTTAATGAAAATAAATCGTCAACTACTGATGAGTCTCTAAGTAGAAGTTATGCCTCAACTTAACTTTTGAACAAATCATATTTAAAAATATCAATGCTTATTTTATTATTTTTCATTTAGTGATGTATCATCTACCAATATCGATCAAGATCCACCACGTAAACGACGAAAATTAGCACCAGCATCATCATCATCACCATCATGCAAGTTCTCTATCAACAGCACTTCATCGATTTCTTCATGCAACTGTTCACCTACTCGACTTAAAATAAAATCTAAATATTTTAATAATGCTTCACCTGAACAACAACAACAATAAACAAATTCTCAATATGATGAATCTCTTCCTGAAACTGAAGTAATAGCTTATTTTAAAACATAATAGTGCTAATTTGTAAATTAAATTTTATGAAAAACTGTATTAACATATTGCTGAACTCTCTGATATAATTTATAAAAATTTAAAAGAATATTTAAAAAGAAAAATTTTATTGATTCATGTGCCCAACATTTTATTTTAATATTGAACTCAGCTTACTTCATGAGAGAACTGATCATCTTCAGCAAAAAAAACTAAAATTGAATGATTGAATCGAGGAGCATCATGCTTCATTGAGAAGTGCAAAGGTAACAAATAGAATAAATTGAATCTATCGGCATCCTAGTTTACATGAACAAGTAACAATATTTATCGTACTCGTATCTTCATATATGACATGTTCAGAGATTCGATTAGCATTACGAGTACCTTTTTTTTAATGAGATCAGAAGTATAAAACAAAAAGTAGAGTGATAAGTTAAATCTTGAGAAAATCTTTTTTCAACCGTATCCTATTTAATATCGATTAATAATTGAATAATGTAATTGAAACAATAATAGTTTGAATTATTAAATCAAAAGAATCTATTAAAAATAGATTTTCTTTCAAATTTTTAAATGAGTGTTATTTTCTAATATATTGAATGAATTGTAGAGTTTGCTTTGAAAATAAAATATGTAAATAATAAATATTGAATTTAAAAGCAATCAAATAATTTTTATTAATATTTTAGATTTTTTTACACAGAATATTACACTTCAATGTTATGTCTTGCTTGGTTTTAGTCATGGTGAGAGCAGAGCTTAAAAAGTTATCTTGCGATAATCCATGATTTTAAATAACGATGTGAAGTTATTCAACAAGCAAGTCAATAAAAAGGTTTAATTTTCGAATAAATTTATAATAATGATATATTATGTTTTACATCTTTTCTTCATACTTTCATGACTCTCACTTAATAACAAAATGATTCATCAAGATATTACACAATAATATATTTTATTGTATATATAATATCATTCATTTAATAGATAGAATCAAATAGTTACAATGTTACTTGATTGATGAGAAGAATTTCACTAAGATTTTGTATAAATAAACGTAAACAGATAGACTTAATAATGAAAAGATTTCTTCTTGTATTATATAGAGTTATATATAATGCAAGAGTTACATTGAACATTAAATTAGTGACCTCTCCATTTATAGTAGATGATCGAACAGATTAGATATTTGTTAAATGCGTACTAGTTCCATGATTATGTACAATGGCTGAATAACTCAAATGAATAGTTTCTCATTGATGTTTAATTATTCTACAATTACTTCAATTGATCATTATATTGAGTGTACACATATATATATATATATCAGACTTGTCTATAGACGAATAAATATCGTCAACTATATAAAAGTAATATTCAATCGAAGATTATCATACATTGCCAATGTAAGATTAATAATATCGAATAAAAAAAACCAAAAGCATAATACTTATTCATCTAATTTTGATAAAAATTTGATGGTCAATAAAGTGTTACGTCTTTTTTCAGTCTTATTTTTGTGCGATAACTTCTTTCGATACATCAAATAGCATGTCAAATTCATGCTAATTCAGTTGGAATATATTCATGTTTTGAGTGAATTATAAAATTTGAACTTTCTAGTTTCTAATCAACTGTTCCTTCACTTTTTATATAAAGGATTTTATTCTTAATCTATATCTTTTCCATATGGCTTTTGAATAGAAAGAGAATCTCCTGAATTTCTCATTTCTTCCTAAGAAAGATTTTTCTAATACATATCAGCGAATGGTTTACTTAGTATTTTTCATATAGATTTTAAATTTATTTAAAAAAATAAATTTCAAATGAAATTGCTGATACATGAAATTTAGTAACTGCAAATATGATTTTTACTTCTCTAATTAAACAAAGAACAATAGAATATTTGACACAATAATGAATGTTTCTTGTATTCAAATATCGTCTAGATATGTAATATTATTTGAAAAATATTTTCATCAATTCAACAAATAAAAATCTTCAAAGTTTTACAATTTTATTGTTAAATAAAATGAAATTTTCTTCAATAAAATTTGATGAAAATTGTTTTCATTACTGTTGATAACTGACTATTTATTGTTTTAATTAAATAAAATAATTTTTTGAAGATAAGAATCATTTGAACTAATTCTTTGTTAATATTGTTATTGCCATTTGGATTCCTTTGTAATTAATAATTAAAATAAAGCAAAAATGTTCTTAGAACAATGATAGAAATAATTGTGAATATAAATAATACAAGTCATATTAGTAAAAAAAAAAGTATATCATTAGTAGAATTCTTAGAAAAAATTGAATTTGCTTGTGATACAAAATAAATTCAATAGATTAAAATTTCATTTTATCATTCATCCTCTAATGGGAGAAGTATAATTATAGTTCTAAATATCTGAAAATATAATGCTTGCCAATTGTTGATTTTTTCGAATTGAAACAGACTGAGTTAGAAAATATTTTCATGTAATAATTATTATTCAAAATAAATCTTTTTTCTAAGTTAATTGTTTTTTTTTAGAAAATTTTCCGAAAAAAATATATAATAATATAGTTTAGTTCAATTGATATTATGTTTCTTCTAACATGTATATTGGATAATGGGACTTCAGATCAATAGTTTGTTATATAATGTCAACAGTTACTTCTTCAGAACCGAATATTAAGCAAATAAATATGATCCTCGGCTTTTCAAAATAATAGGAAATTGTATTAATTTCTTAACAAAAGTTTATTTTTCTGTAAAATTTATTTCAAAAGAACAAGGAACTTTGATGAAATGTAAAAAAAAAGAACTTGGCTAAAATTCAGCGCAATTTTCTATTGTTTTGACAAATAAGTAAT